GATTATATTCAGCTCAAAGGTGCATCATTTACAGCATAGCTCAAGGGAAGAAGGGCTATCTACCAAAGACTTTCGAGTTCGATTACATTCAGCTCAAAGGCACATCATTTATAGCATAACTCAAGGCTAGAAGGGTTATTTATTAACAAAAGACCTTCGAGTTCGATTACACTCAGCTCAAAGGCACATAATTTACAGCATGACTCAAGGCAAGAAGGGTTATCTGCCAAAGACCTTCGAGTTCAATTACATTCAACTCAGAGGCAAATCAAATTTACATCATAGCTAATGGCGAGAAGGGCTATCTGTCAACAAAATTGTCGAGTTCGATTTCATTCAGCTCAATGACACATCAACCACACTACTGTCCGGTTGCAATCGAGGTTTTCAAGTCGAGAAGAAGACCTGGGTTAGTGCCTTAGTGACAAGAAACTGTTTTCCGCCAGCATAACTTAAGTCGAGAAAAGTTATCTGTCAACGAAGACCTTTCGAGTTCAATTTCAGTCAGCTCGAGGGCCTATTAACCACATGGTGGAGTCAAGGAATTGTTTTCCAGTTGAGTTTTTAAACCAAGGTCTTTAAATCGAGAAGAAGACCGAAGTGAACTACAATTTGGCAATGAGAAGCCGCATCCCGATTCAAATCCTGAATTACAGCTTCAATTTCATATCGTTTCAAGATGAACTCGACTTCGCGACGGAGGAGTCATCCGCAACTCAATTCGACATGGAGTTATTCTTAATTGAAATATCAGAGTCGATTTTCAACTCCACCGAACAAAAATTTGTGTCCTTTTATCTTTGTCCTATTTTTCGTTCCACGAAAAAGGACAAAGAGGGGCAGCTGCAGACACTCATTTTCGTCCAATTTTTTATAAATATATATATATATTATATAGTTTGCAAATAATTTTTGAAATATATATATATAATATATAGTTTTAGAAAGCATTTTGAAAACATATATAATATATAGTTTTTAAAACATTTTGGAAAAATATATAATATATAGTTTTTAAAACATTTTGGAAATATATATAATATATAGTTTTTAAAACATTTTGAAAATTTATATAATATATAGTTTTTAAAAATATTTTGAAAACTTATATAATATATAAGTTTTTAAAACATTTTGGAAAATATATATAATATAGTTTTAAAATATTTTTTGAAAATATATTATATTATATGGTTTTGAAAAACATTTTTTAAAATCATATATAAAATATAGTTTAAAAAAATATTTTATTTATTTATTTATTTATTTATTTATTCATTTTTTCTTTCTCGTTTTAGGTCTATTTGGGGTCTAATCAATCCAGGAATAGGGCCTGAACTAGCCTAGTGAGGGTCTAGGGTTTCACGGGTTAGCATAAGCGCCGTACAACAGGGGACCGTTAGATCAGGAGGGAGATCAACGACCAATATTGTTAAGGAGTTAGGGTTTATTTAACCCTCAAAGACCTATCACGCCGTGGCCGATCTTGGACCGTTGGATCTGACCCAATCCAACGGTCAAGATCAAATCAAAGGTTCCAAAAGCCTGAACACCACCAACAACAGTCAAGAGACCACACACCGGTCACCGAGATTTCCAGCCGAGGAGATCAGGATTAACCCATCCCGAAATCCCTGGCCAACCATAAGTGTGTTACCATAATCGTCGGAACGACCACCGGTAGAGGTATAAATACCCTCACCAAGCCACTGCCAAGGGGATCACAAACATCAACAGTAAACTGAGAGCACATAACAACAGTCAAACGACGAGCACCGAGATACACCACAGTACCAAAACAACACAGCCATCAACACAGACAGAACCCACGGAAACACAGTAAACCGAGAGATCGAGAAACATCGAACATCAATACCAAAAATAGCAAACCAAAACAAACCATAGCAGCCAAACATCGAAGCAAAACTCAAGGAAATACACACAAAACAAAGAAAAAATAGCAGTGAGAACCAGCGCGCGTCGAAATCGAGAAGGCTCGCCAGGAAACAGATGGGTTTTCGAGAACTAACTAAAAGCCCGAGAGCTTTGCCCTTAGATCTACGTCATTTGGGGCTTGGTTGTGAGAATCGGACGGTGGATTTGTGTTGGGGGTGGAGTGAGGATTATTTTAAGGTAAGGTTAATTTTTCCGGCCGCCGGAGCGGTGGCGAATGGTGTTTGACCACCGGAGTGGTGGCTAGGCTTTGATCGACCATCGGGGATGTTGAGAAAGTTGGGAGAGGGGAGAAGATAACATTTGAGAGAGGATGAAAATGAGCTAATTTGGGATTTTTTTGGGATTATATATCAACCCGCTGGGTTGACCCGTGTCCGACCCGACCCGACCAAGGGGGTCTGCGTGTTTCTGTAACAAATGGGAGGAATCGCATTTTCGACCCTAATTTTCTCTTAAATTGTATCCCCATGTTATTATTATTTCAATTTGGTCCCCTGAAATTTTATCTTTTTTATTTTTTTATTATGTTTTTAATTATTAGTAGTATTATTTTCTTATTTGTTTCCATTTATTTACTTTTAAATAACTTTTCTTTTCCTTTCAATTTATTTAAATTTTCTTATTATTTCTTTTATTCTATTTATTTGATTTTATTCTATTTATCTATTTATTTCTATTTATTATTTATTTTGATATATTTTTATTTATTTATCTTTTATTTGTTATGTTTTTACCCTTTGATTTCTATTTATTATTCCTTATTTATTTAACATTTTTTTGACTTCTTTTTGGTAATCTCAATCGATCAAAGGTAAGTAATTAGAATCAGGTTTTTGAATTTTAATTTTAATTTTAATTTTTACAAATAAAGACAACCGGTAAATTAATTGGTACCGAAAGGGCGGTTCAAGGGTGCCAATCCTTCATTGACCGTAACCGACTCCCGAACTCGACACATTTCTGGTAAAACATAGATCAGGTAAGATGGTGTCCGATCCACCTAAATATTTTTTAAAAGTGATCAGTGACGACTATAATCCAATTCATTCAAGTCGAAGCTCAATTTTAAGACCAACCGAAATATGATTCCGACACCACCCAAATCCGCCGAGAAATATGTGTTGCAGTTCATTGTGTCCATTCTTGTTTGATTTTGTCCATCACTTTCATCAATTGTTTGATCGGTCAAATTGTCTTTGCGATTTGGGAATTGCAGGGAGACAACGCGGAGGGAAGGAGGGGAGGGGGGAGGGGCATAATTTTTTAATAATATTTTTATTTTTTTAAAATATAAAATTTTAAAAAAATATAAATATAACAAATGTCAGTTAATGAATTTTTTAATTGTTACAGTCGAAGTATCTAAAATAATAACAGTTATAACGATAAACACTTGAATTGATTAAAAAAGATTAAACAATGATTTAAAAAAATATAATTTGAACATTTTTTTTTATAAATCAAAACAAAAAGTCCAACCCATCGTATTGCCTTGTAATTTTGTTTTGACAAAAAAGCAATTGTGATTCCTGTAATTTTATTTTAAAAATCAATGTGATATTTACTCGTATTAAATATGATCATTTAACATAGAAAATAAATTTAATATGATATTTGATCAATATTTTTGTCGTTAACCATTACATTATTAACGTGACAATTTACAATATTGATGTGATTATTCATGATATTAACATGACAGTTTACAATGATCGATGACGTTATAGATAACATGATAGACGAACTAAATTAGTTTTTTTATCTTGTTTGAGGGCCAGATTGATTTTTCAAAAGAAGTTTAGTGATATTTTTATTTTTTTTAAAACATTTTAAAATTTGAATTTAAAAATATTTAAAAATACTCAAATATAAAAATACTAAAAATATAAATTAAATTATTAAAAATTAAATATATATTACAAATACTAAATTTATTATTAAAAATGAATACATGTCATAAACTATAAAATGATAATTTATAAATTATTAAAAAAATAATTAAAAAAAAGATATACATGTAATATATGATTATATCATCAACACTTATACATAATTTTCTTAATGGATTAGTCGAGATTTATAAATTTTGTTTCTAAATATAAATAGAAGATATAAGTTTCGACTAATCTAAAATCTGTAAATCTCAACTAATTAAAATTTTATAAATCTTGATTAATCTAATAATAATATTTTATATTAGTATTAATGATACAACTATATGTTATATGTATATATCTTATATAATATATCTTTCTATTTTTTTTAATAATTTATAAGTTATCATTCTATAACTTATGATATATATATATTTATATTTAATTTTTTAACGGTAATTTTTAATATTTTTAATATGTACACTTCATTTTTTAGTAATTTAAATTTTATTTTTATATTTAATTTTTTTGAAGATTTGAATACTTTATATTTAAAATTTTATAAATAAGATCTTGATTTGCTTTAAAAATAATTTAACTATCGAACAAGATTAAAAAAATAATTTAATTCATTTGTCATTGTATTCGTCACATCATCTATTACAATGGACTGCTACTTTAGTATCATGAATCATAAATCACCATGTTAGTATCGTAAAATATCACATTAATAACATAACAATTAATTTTAAAAAATATTGATAAAAAAATCACATCAAATATATTGATAAAAAAATCACATCAAATATATTTTTTAAATTGAATGGTCACATTTGATAAAAAAAAATAAAAATAAAAATAAAACAATAACCATATTTTTTTTAAAGTAAAAGGGTCTCATGTGACTTTATTACTTTTGGTTTGGATGATTAATAATTCTATGCTATAAACGTTCTTTTTGGGATTTCTTCATCCCCAATTTTTGAATTTTCCCTAATTCTTTTCCCTCTTTCCTCTAAATTTCTCTCGTCTCTATTTTCCTCAACAAACAAAGAGATTCTATTTTCGCTTTTGCTTTTGCTTTTGCTTTTGCTTTTGCTTTTGCTTTTTGCTTTTGCTTTTGCTTTTGCTTTTGCTTTGCAAGTTCAGGTTCCCGCGTGCATTGATTTCTGAAGATTATTGGGTGTTTTGGTTCGAGTTACTTGATGGAGAAGTTAACTGATTTAGAACGCATTGAGTTGAGCAAAACCAATTTACGAAGGGCCATGAATGAGATTCAAGATCGCGTTTCTTCCCTTCTTGTGCTTAATCTTCGATGGAAAGACATGGAACACGTTTTGGACTCCGCCCAGAGTTCGGTTGAAGAACGACTCAGAGAAGTGAGTTCAAAAGAAGATGAGATCGGAAGAAAGGAGAAATCGGTTAGAGACCAGTTTGAAGACCTTAAGGTTAAAGAGAAGGAGCTAGGAAGGAAACTTAGGGATTTGGAGTTTGGGAAGCAGTGTTTTGAAGAAAGGCTTAAACTAAAAGAGGATGAGATTTTGTTTAAAGAGAAGGCGTTTGAGAAGAACCGTAGGGATTTTGAGTTAGAGAAGAAGGATTTTGAGCGGCAGCGTGCAGGGCTTGAACTTAGTGTTAAACAATGTGAGCAGCAAATGAAAGATGTTAAATCGATGGAGAAATCGGTAAAAGATAGGTTGGAGGAAGTTGGGCTGAAAGAAAAGAGTTTCGGGAAGCGTTGCAAGGAGTTTGAGTTGGAAGGAAAGGCTTTGAAAGAACGTCGTAAGTATCTTGAAATGAACATAAAACAATGTGAGCAGCGGCGGGAAGAGGCTAATTCGATGGAGAAAATGGTAAAAGACAAGTTGGAGAAAGTTTGTTTGCAAGAGAAAGACTTGCAGAAACGCTGTAGAGAGTATGAGTTGAAAGAAAAGCAATTTGGGTTGAAAGAGAGAGATTTTGAGAAGTGCTCGAGTGAGTATGAGTTAAAAGAACATCAATTCAGGTTGAAAGAGAATAGTTTTCAGAGGCGGTGTACAGAGTTTGAGATGGAAGAAAAGGCTTTGAGAGAACGTCGTCAAGATCTTGAATTTAGTGTAAAACAATGTGAGAAACAATGTGAAGAGGTTAAATCGAATGAGAAATCGATAAAAGATAGATTGGAGGAAGTTGGGTTGAAAGAGAGAGATTTAGAGAAGTGTTTGAGAGAGTTTAAGTTCAGCAAAGAGCAATTCGGGTCGAAAGAGAAGCATTTTCTGCAGCGTTGCATTGAGTTTGATTTGGAAGAAAAGGCTTTCAAAGAACGTTGTAGGGATCATGAGATGATAGAGAAAGGGGTGCAAAAGCGGTTGGAAGAGATTAAAAGGAAAGAGGAAGAATTCGGGCGGAAAGAGAGTGATCTTGGGCGGCGTTGTAGGGATGTCGAATTGTCAGAGAATTGCCTTCAGAAAGGTCTTAAAGATCTAAAACTAAAGTCTGCACAATGTGTGGAGAGATTCAGAGAGCTTAAGTTAATGGAAGAATCAATAACAACCCAGTGTGAGGAGCTTAAGGAGAAAGAAGAGCAATTTAGATCGAAAATGAATCATTTTGAGCAGCGTTCTAGAGATTTTACAATGAAGGAGACATCTCTTGAAAAGGGTCATCAAGAACTTGAAGCAAAACAGAAACATAATGAAGAGTGCTTTAGAGAAATCAAATTGAAAGAGAAGCAAATAGAAGAATCATCTGTGGAACTGGCGAGAAAATATAAATTACAATTTGAAGAACTCGAACATAAAGTTAAGCAATATGATCAGAGATTCATGGAGCTGAAGCTTAAGGAGAAAATGGTTAAAGATCAGTTTGAACAGGTTGAGGAAAAAGAGCAACAGCTTGAGTTGAAAGAGAGGTATTTTGAGCAGTGTTCAAAAGATTTTGAGTTAAAAGAAAAATGCCATTCTCTAGATTTTGAGTTAAAAGAAAAATGTCTTGAGCAACGTAATCGGGAGCTTGAAGCCAAAGAGAAGCATTATGGTGAATGTTTGAGAAAAGTTGAACTAAGAGAGAAGGAGATCGAAGAACTATCTGCAGAACATAGGAGAAAGTATGAGCAACAGTCCAGCGAGCTTGAGTTCAATGGTAAGAAGTGTGAGCAGCGGTTCAGAGATCTTGATTTAAAGGAGAAGAAACTTGCAGAATGGTTGAAAGAACTTGAAAGCAAGAGTCATGCTTTAGCCCCCCATCCTCGAATGAAAGAAGAATCAGCAGGCAGTTTGTCGGTTAAATGTTCCATAGATTATTCTTCACCAGCACATCTTTGGTTTTGTGTATATATGGATGGAAAGGATTTGCAGATGTTCCTAAATGAGCGCTGGAAAGAGCATGGTTCGATAGGCACTGAAGTTGCTATGGCTCTTCAACTTGCAGCAGACCCTGCAAAGCTTGTCTTGGATGCAATGGAGGGGTTTTACCCTCCACATTTGAGTAAGGGAGACGGAGAGTTTGAAGGGAATGTTGCCAGAAGAAGTTGCATTCTCTTGTTGGAGCAATTGATGAAAATCTCACCTGAAGTTAAGCCCCATGTTAGAAAAGAAGCTATGAAGCTTGCCTTTGATTGGATAACAAAAATGAGACTTGAATCTGGCCATGAATTGGAGGTTTTGGGATTTCTGCGTCTTTTAGCCTCTTTCCGATTGGCAGGTGCTTTAGATGCTGACGAGCTTGTCAACTTCTTGGTGTTTGTTGCTCAGCATATTCAAACCCCTGAATTATTCAAGGTTCTTGGTTTGGGAGATAAGATCACTGGTAAAGTTTATAGAACCCTTTACCTTCTCTTATTTACATGCATGTCTAATATTATAAGTTTTCTTTTACTGATAAACATGCAAATTCTTGAAATGAGAATGCATAAAAGCCCTAGATGGCTAGATCATAAAATGAAATTTACCTGTAGTTATATTGTTTGTTTTACATGGGGAGGTCCATAGCAGTTATAACTTGGATTACCTGCCTGACAGGTTTCATAAGAAAACTTGTTGAAAAGAAGCAGCATATGGAGGCAATTAGATTTATTTATGCTTTTGAACAGGTTAATGAGTTTCCTCCAGTACCTGTCTTGAAAGATTTCTTGAACCATTCCAAGGCTGAAGCTAGATCAATTTTGAAAAAGAAAAAAATGGCCCCTAAAGCACAGGTTTATCTAACTTTCTATTTAAAAGTTTGCTATGTCGTTAACTATTTAGCCATCTAAATGTGTAAAATTAATTGACAGAATGAGGCAAACACCAAAAGAATAGCTGATCTAAGGGCTGTTGTCAAATGCATCAAAGATCATAAACTTGAATCCGAGTACCTACCTCACGAACTTAAGAAGCTTAACAAATTAATTCTCTCTCTTGAAAATATAAATGGAAGCAGAAGTCTTACCCACCCAGAAGCTAACCCTGTCCTTAACACTGCTCCTGTGAGTGAGACCTCATCACAGCAACAAGGTGGTATAAAGCGACCACGAGAGTTAGTAGCTACTGAAGTTGCTGGAAATGCCCCCCGTGGTGCCACGATCGATTTTTCCTCAAATAATGACTCCCAAGAATCTAAAAGGGTCAAAATAAGGTAAGTATTCTCTACAATAGTTGATTTTTTTATATAGTTTTTGTATATAATTTGGGTCTGGGAATCTATTACCAATTAGTTTTAGGTTGGATACTTAACATAGTTTTTGAATTTTACTAGTGACAATTACTTATCTAAATTCTAAGTGATATATAACAACATCCTCTTTTCCGAACAAATACAATTTAATCTTCTATATCCATTATTACTCCACTTTATAGCTCTAAAAAACTTCCATTTCTTTGACTTGGATTGAAGAAAGGTATGGAGAGTGACCTGTAGAACCCAAGTCCCAAGATGATTATTGGAATTTTGTAACAATGCAAGGAAATTTGGAAATGTATGCGTACCTGTTCTCTGAATTGTTGTTGTATGGTGTTATTAAGGCTGCCTTCCCAATGCCCTTCATTTCCCCTCTCATTTAGTAGTGCTTTGTGAAACATTGGAGTGATTGAGTGTCCTTGAGAGAACATCTTCATCTCTGGGTAATTTTCCACACTCATAATATGTAAGGATGGGAATCTAATGCCATAATCCCTAGCGAGCATAAGCTTTCTAGCTTTGGTAGGCATGTAAGTTCCAAGCGGTTGAGTTTGGGGAAACGGGGGAGAGACATAGGATCTTATATTAGGGGTAAACTTCTAAAATTTTAAAAGTGGCGAAAACCGATTATCAATCGAAAATACAAAAAAAAATATTTAAACCATATATTAATTTGAATTTTTTAAGGGTGATTGCCGTCACCCACCCTTTCGATCCATCCCTAGGAAAACTGATTTTATCATGATCATCATCATCCCACCTTGTACTAATTTATTTCTTATATATTTTCGCGACAATATATATACTCATTTCTTTGAGCTTCCCTAGACTTTTGGACGTGGAATGTGCAATTATTTTTTTTAACTTGGGGCTGTTTTTCACATGCAAAATCTTATATTTTGGAATCCTTCCTTTTCTTCCATAAATTCATCAGTTCCCATAGAAATTGTCATCTTAATTCAATTATCTTAATCCTAATTATCTGAGTAGGACCGTAAATGAGATGAGACAGATTGCTAGTTACTTGAGTTTGATTGAGTCAAAGTTTAATCAGTACTTGACTCGAATGGATTCAACTCGAGTTTTTAACGAGTTGAAGCAAGCTAGTTAATGCTTGACTTGAAAAGCTTGCAAACAATTTGAAAAAAATACTAAATTTTAAATCTTTTAAATTAAATTTTAATAATATTAATATTTATATATTATTTTTTTTAAAATGCAGTGTAAGATTTTTATCTTTGTTTTCAAAAGCGCGCTTAAGGCATCAATCACAACGCCTTCGGAGAGAGGCACAACGCACAACAAGAAGCCCTCCTAGACGTGCGCTTATGGGACATTTTTGCATAAGCGCCAGGCGTACGCTTATGCCGCCTTAGGGCTAAGGGACCTGTGCAACTGCTCGCTTGCCTCTTCTACTGTTTGTCTCTTCCACTAAAAAACATATCACGTATGCTATATGCTATGACTGAGAATAAAAATAGATAATAGAAATAGAAGAAAAGAATTCAGGAAGATATGCTAGTTTTGTAAGTAGGCGTTATTCGTGTTTTATATTCTTATAAATAGTTGATAATGTTGTGTAAATACACGAGTCACATTAATGACATGAGTTAAGGCATTGATCTAGGCGAGGAGATTGCACGTGTCCTTGTTGTATAATCATGAATCTATGTGTATTCTAATGACATGAGTTACATGCATGAATATAGTTGTATATCAGAGTGCGCCTACACGATGTCTATAAAATGCCTGGTAGTTCACGGCTTATCAAACAAGCATAACATTCCACACCAATCAAGACAAACAATTTATGAACCAAGGCCTGCAATTCCCAAAAGAATCAACACAAAGAACTACTATTCACACTTTCAGCTGGAATCGCATCAATAAAACCCCAAACAAAGTTCAAGCACTTGTGATAACCCAATCAAAGCTCCCCAAGGCCTCAAACTACAATTGCACTGGAACTGCAAACCCCCACTCAAATGGAGCACAGCTATTGCAGCAGAGCTTGAGCGTCGAGTCTCAACTCTGCATTCTGCGAACCTGGATAATCGAGTTTGGCAAGTTGATGAAATAAGAAATCGAAAAACTTATAATCGGCCGTTTACATTTTGCACGAAAAATATGTCCTCGTAACTATCGCTTCAAAAATTTGGTCTTCTTTCCATCTATTTCGATTAAAAACAGCTTCATTCCTACATAGCCAAATCGTCTAAAGAAAAAAAAAACAAAGATGGACGTATTCCACAATTACTTATACCCGATAACTATAGGTTGATCGATCCAAAATAAGATGAACGCTCTGACATTATTCGGACACACGAAGTTTAGATTCCATAACGTGAACCACCTAGCCTAGATCCTCCAAACAAACTGGCAATGGCAAAACAAGTGATTTACAAGAATCAAAACACACAACTCCAGTTTTCGCTAGCTCCACCAATATTGCGATCCTTTGCACTACAACCCTCCAGATAAATTCCTGAACTTTTTCGGGTGCTAAATTCGACCAAACAAATTCCCATAATTTATCTCTAACAGCCCTCTTTCTCGTAAAAAACAATCTTCTAATTTCAATATTCCAGACCCACTCTCTATTAACTAGGTGGTCGAACTCCGAAACTTTACTCGAATTTCTAATAGTAACCCTAAATATTCTTGAAAAAGATTGTCTTAACGACCTAACTTTCGTCCAATTGTCACTCCAAAAGTCAACATTCCTTACGTCCCCTGCACACAATCGCACATTCCTAGTATATAGGTCATCATCCTTAAGCAATGGAGTCGTTATATTCCTCTATATCCTTGAAGAATTTCTTGGTTGGGGGGGTACGGGATCAATAAATCGGGATCCATCCCATATTTAGCTTCTACAACTTTCCTCCACAAAGATATGGCTCACCACCAAACTCCAGAGTTATTTGATTAATAATGATCGATTCCAGACACGAAGACGTGGAATCCAAGCCTACCATAAGCCCTTGGTCTGCACACGTTATTCCATTTAACCAACTGGACGGCCCTACCAGACTTCGCGCCCCACAGGAAATTTGCAATAATCTAATTAAGGGTAGAAGCGATAGAAACAAGCATTTGGAATAACGAAAGGAAATACACCAGTAGGTTAACGAGAACTGATCTTATCAAAGGCATGCGTCTTCCGAATGAAAGAAGCTTTCTTTTTCACCTGACCAATCTTGCATTAATCTTCTTCACAATGGGCTTCCACAAGGCAACTGAATCCCTTGAATAACCGAGCGGCAAGCCAAGATAAGTTGGTGGGAAATTTCCATATGAACATTTGATGCTACTCGCCCTATTTTGGACACAATGTTCAGACAAATTAACACCATACACAGTCGATTTGCTTACATTTAAGCTTAGGCCAGATGCAATCTTCAATATTCTTAATACCCTCTTCGCGTTCCTAATCGGCTTCAAATTATCGTCCAAGAATATTAAAATGTCGTCAACAAACAGAATATGGGAGATGCGCATCCCACTTGAGCCCACCGGGACTCCACCAATCAACCCCACGTCTACGGCTTTAGCTATCAAACCCTTTCTTAATAATGGACATCCTTGGCGAAACCCTTTCTTAATATCAATTTTTTTTTTTTTTTTTGTAAGGGTGTCGTTTACTAAAACAGAAATTGAGGCCTTCGTGATACACGAATTCATCCATCGTCGCAATTTTTTTACCAAAGCTCCTCATTCTCAATACCAAGTCTAGGAACTTCCAATAGACTAAATCGAATGCTTTCGTGAAATCTACTTTGAATACAACTACTTTTCTTTTCTTTCTGTTCAGGTCATCAATCACTTCGTTAGCAATGATAAAACAATTTGAAATTTGCTTGCTTGAAATGAACACAAACCGAGTCTCACAGACCACTTCATTAACATAATCGGTTAGCCTCCATGTCAATACACGAGTAACATCACCCCTTCAAGATCCTCTATTCTGCTTTCAATCTCATGGATTGATTCAACGTCTCTCTCTAGCATTCCAAAGCCCACACTTTCGACGCCCCTTTTCTCTCTCAGTAAAGTATTCGAACCTTTGTTTTTACATCTCCTGCTAACAGACTTGACCATCTCAGCATAATCTTTGTCATCTGCCCAGTGCGTAAACCATTTGAATGGTCGAGGACCCTTACTAACGTTCTCCACATGGATCGTTACAGGATTATGGTCTGAAAAGCTCTTAGGGGGCGCAGTCTGCGCCAAGCTTGGAAAGCTGAGTAACACCTCAGTAGATATCAAAAACATGTCCAGTCTACTCGCTGGCATTGAAGCCCCCCCTCTGACCCAAGTAAACGGACCTCCCACTAGCGGCATATCAATTAAGTTTCTTGAATGGATGAACTCTACGAAAGTTCTCGTCACAGTCAAATTATGAGTACCCCACAGACTTTCCCCCCCATATAACAACATTAAAATTAGCTTCGATGATGACCTGTAATCCCAAATCCCCAACAGTGCCATTTAAATTGTCGAAGAACTCCTCCCTTTCTCTTTGGTCGTTGGGGCCGTACATGTTAAGAAATCCCACCTGTATATTGCTCTGCGTAATCCTACCAACTAACACCACCACTCTATTATACACTCTCATAAGCTCCACTTGAAAGAAGTTCGCGTCCCACAACGTAATCAGTCCAACCGAAGCACACCATCAGATAGCACAACTTTCACATCATGAAATCTTCTACCTTTCAGATGAGATAACATACCCTGCTTCACTGCTGACATTCTGGACTCCTGAATAAACGCTACGTTGGCTTTGCTTCTGTGTAGAATTCTGCTCACTGCTCGAACCTTCTCAGCCTTACCCAACCCTCTCACATTTCAAGTAATAAGAGACAAATTCATAAGATAGCATCAAAACACACAACAAAAGATAGGAATGAGGCTCCTGGGCATTTACAACCCTGCAGCATCTTCCATATCCTTAAATCGTCCCCTAACTACAAATTCTGGGGCATTTAACTCGACACCAAGACATTTCCCTGCCTCTATCGTCGAAATTGCCTCTGTTAATGTGTCGATAGTTGGCTCGTTCAACAAGTTAGGTTGATCAGGACCCAAGGAAAGATTCATCAATCCACTAACAGTAGGGCATTCACCACGTTTCCGAATCCTTTTACCCCTTTTGATGGTGGTTTTGTTCTTTCCTTTTTTCTTAGTCACCTTTCTGCTTTCTTTGTCGCACAGATTCCTTGTTCTCAATCCTAGCCCGAGATGCTCACCTTGATGATTCCAGTGAATAACCAAATCCTTTCCCACCCCTATTAATGCCAAGCTCTCCGCCTCTTCTATAGGCACTTCTAATAATCTAGAGCTATTAGAAATGGATGAAAGCAAACTCAGTCTCTGACTCCTCCCAGCAGTTATTCTCAGTCCCTAGTGAAAAAGGCGAAGCGTTCAGCTCTTCATCAGCTGCGTACTTCTCATTTAATTCTTTTGCTAGTTTTGCAATATAGTCTTCATTCCCAGTAGGGGATCAACCAAATTGGCAGGCTCCGCACCCATCTCATCCTCAAATGGGAGTCGACCATCCCAAAACAGTCTATCCCCATCATACCCCTAAACCTTAAGTTTCAAATTGGCCACTCCCCCATCAATGATGATAGGAACTCTATCAGGAACACATAATACCTTTTGAACTGAGATGAACGCCCTAGCCACGTCAAATTGGTCACGCCTTAAAGTCTCCTCCTCAACCTTCAAGGGCGCTCCCCATCTACTTCCAAGCTCTGGGAAGAACTTTTCATTCCATACTTCTAAAGGCACATCTTCTATAGCAACCCAAATATTAACATTTCTTTTTCCTTCATAACTGATTAACATCTCCAATTCATCAAACTACATGTGAATTAACTCTTTTCTTTTCTGCAAGCATTTTTGAAGCTCTTCATCACTTGGAAACTGAATCACCACCAATAACCCTTGCCAAGGACTGATTTTCACGTTAAGCCCCTCACTGCTCAATATATTTTCCAGTAGAACTTCATTATACATTCCTTTAATTCGTCCAACCAGGCACCTCCTCCTCCACTCCGTGTCTGACTTCAGAATACAGATGGGCCTAAACTTACTGTCACTTGGATCGTCATCAATTTGCATGTGGTTATCAACAATACTCACCAGAACCTCAAACTCTTTGACAACGTGTCCCCTCACTACTTGATCAATGGGAAGCTCTGAATTCCCTGATTCTGCTCGCCCCACCAATGCTTCCTTAAATGACATCAAACCTTTCAAAGACGATCTCTTAAAACCCGTCCTCGGATCGTCAGCTCTCTTAGGTGGACCTTCTATCTTATCCATAGACAAAAAGACCTTAATGGGAAGACCATCGATCAATCTTCCAGAACCATTCCCAACTGCAACGATTGCTTCCTCTCGTTTCTTATATCTCACAAACGCAAACGTACTCTTTTTGAGCAGTCGATTCATATTATTGTACACAATAAATACATCTAAAACAATATCGTACGCCTGAAAAACTTCACCCAAGGCTCTC